CACTACTAAATATACGTTTAACATTCAGTTGTGGGTGTATTATAAAAGTGCACTATTCTATTAACAGTCGTCACTTCATACTGCAGATACTGCTTTTTCCTGGTCTACCATTCAAAATTAAGGATGATTATGCCTTTATTTTAGGAGCCTCTAACTTAGCCATTTAGCCTATTGTGTGCATGAAACATCTTTCAGGTGAACAAAAAATTAATCCATGTAATTATATATATATATATATGTCCAGTGAACTGAAATATTTCGCATTTCTTAAACTTCTTAATCATGTAACTTCCACTAAAGATATTATAATATACATAAATGAAAATAGCATTGAAAACATTGAGTAAAATGGATATAAAATGCAAATATTATGGGAATTATAATCCTGTATTCTATAAAAGTGAATGACAGCAGAATACACGTTGACAATTTGCAATGCGAATGGTTGTCGTCCAACCAATCAGGCAGTACCACATAAGTACAGTACTTATATAAAAATCCAGGTAATCAAATTACACCCAGCAGTAATGTGTTGCATGCATTCATGGCCTCCAGGATAGAAATCTCACATGACAAACGTATAGAAATCATAGATCTGGCTAGTGTTGTGACAAATTAAGGTAAGATTTATTATTCATTAGAAGCTGTATGTTTTTGTTTGTTTGTCTTTTCAAATTTTTTTATGAAAAGTTACACAAAGAGTTGTCTGTGCATATTTGTTCCTAATTTTGAACCGATGGATTACAGAGAAGTCAGCTATTCCAGTAGTTCTCAACTATTTGCATCTTACGTCCCACCAACCATTTTGTCAAAACACCCTGGTCCCACCATGATAAAAACAAAACCTCACTTTTTCCATAAAGTGTATTTTTACGTTTACACGCATTTTAGTATTATATTAATCATTAATGGAAATTTTTAAGGACATTAATAATTAACAGGCACAAAAGAAACAGCGAGGCAATCCCCTTTTTTTCGGAATTCTTAATAATTATTTTTCAAACTTCACGTCCCACCTGGACGACCTTGGTTGAGAAACATTGAGCCACTGAAATTATTCTTCCGAATATAGTTTAAACCACAGAATTGATTCTTCCGAATATATTTTAAGTCACAGAAATGATTCTTCCGAATATAGTTTAAACCACAGAATTGATTCTTCCGAATATATTTTAAGCCACAGAAATGATTCTTCCGAATATAGTTTAAACCACAGAATTGATTCTTCCGAATATATTTTAAGCCACAGAAATGATTCTTCCGAATATAGTTTAAACCACAGAATTGATTCTTCCGAATATATTTTAAGCCACAGAAATGATTCTTCCGAATATAGTTTAAACCACAGAAATGATTCTTCCGAATATAGTTTAAACCACAGAAATGATTCTTCCGAATATATCGCATAATATAATATTCGTCATCACAACTTATAGTACAACCCTGTAAATTAGTCACCCTGAACACAAGTTAACCAAAGAGAGGTAAGCTGGACCTATATCATATATCGCATAATACAATATTCGTCATCACAACTTATAGTACAACCACGGGAGGAAAAGAAGTACAGTTGGTATAAACTACAAGAGTTAATATTAACTCTCTTTTTTTCAGCTCCCATCCCAGTCGGTATGTCTGCAGAATTACAACGCTAGAAACCGGGTTTTGATACCCCTGGTAGGCAGAGCACAGATAGCCCATTGTATAACTTTGTGCTAATTTTAAACAACCAACCAACTACTTTTTACAGTTTACAGTAATGAAGGTTATTTTTTTTAACATGTACGAACTGGTGCGATAATCCACAAGTACTTCAAGATATGACTCGTACTTCAGCATCCACTCTGAAACAGCTACCTACGTTGTTATGTCGAATGTTTTCCAAAAAGAATAGAAAAAAAAGATCCAAAACTCAAGGGCTTTCAAATAATTGACTTTTCTTCTTCATGAGAATAAAAGGTGATGATCAGTGAATGCAATGTAATATATAGGTACAGATGTCGACGTCAAAACCGGACGTTCCACATTAGTTTATCTTGGAGACTAGCCAATCATAACTGGAGACGTTGGTGTCAGGTTTAGTTTGTACAAAAGAAACGTGTACATTACATGAAAGGCGTAAGAGTGATAATGGTTGAAAAGATGTTAAAATAGTTTTCATAGATTAGAAGAAAAACAATTAAATACAAAAGGGGTGGTAATCAGAGAAAATGATGAGATAAAGTAATACATAGGAAATAATATCAGTATATATGTATAAAAACACGAATAAAAATATGGATGATACTAATAAGTAAATAAAATAGATCAATGCAAAGCTGTTTTGGGAAATTTTTTTTAGAGGCGCACGAAGGTCAATAATGCAGGATTGTTTGTTTGTTTTGAATTTCGCGCAAAGCTACACGAGGGCTATCTGTGCTAGCCGTCCATAATTTAGCAGTGTAAGACTAGAGGGAAGGCAGCTAGTCATCACCACCCACCGCCAACTCTTGGGCTACTCTTTTACCAACGAATAGTGGGATTGACCGTCACATTATAACGCCCCCATGGCTGAAAGGGCGAGCATGTTTGGTGTGACGGGGATTCGAACCCGCGACCCTCATATTGTGAGTCGAGTGCCTTAGCCACCTGGCCATGCCGGGCCCACAATGCAGGATCGAGAGTGATGCCATTTGGCGTTGCGGTATTTAACAATGCTATCCAGTAAGCTTCTTTAAGTTTCCTGTTTCTGTTTGATGTAAATTTTGTCTCCTGAAGACATAAAACTGACAGGTTAAATAGTGTAACGCCGAATGACGTCAATCTCGATCGCGGAATTGTTGATCGTCGTGCGTCTCTAAAAAAACAAATAGTTCCAAAATCCAGGTAAAAATGGAATGGCTCCAGCCTTGTTTTAGGAAGACTTTTTATCTATACCAAAACTAGACATAGAAAATTTCTTTGCATTTTTCGAAGCATCAAATCCTAAACTCTTGACAGTAATTATTTATTTTATGATACCAAGAAAACGAGTTGAGTTTAACGGCCCACAGATAGCAGCACATTATGGCACTGTAGTTATATAGTTTGTTTGTGTTGAATTTCGCGCAAAACTACACGAAAGCTATCTGTGCTAGCCGTCCCTAATTTAGCAGTGTAAGACTAGAGGGAATGCAGCTAGTCATCACCACCCACCGCCAATTATTGGGCTAATCTTTTACCAACGAATAGTGGGATTGACCGTAACTTTATAACGCTCCCACGGCTGAAAGAGCGAGCATGTTTGGTGGGACAGGGATTCGAACCCGCAGATTGCGAGTCGAGCTCCCTAACCACCTGGCCATACAGGGCCTAGTATATAGACAAGTCAAACTGTTATAGTATATTGGCACTTGTGTATCCTGAGGATGACGTTGTAACGTCGAAACACGTAGAGTCGTCAACTTTTTGAAGGCCA